AAAAAAAAAAAAATAATACATTTCATCTCATCCTAAAAAAGAAAAAAAAAAAAATTACTACATATTACCTAATTTGAAAAAATCTTAACTATATATTTTTTTTCTTTTTTTTAACACTAATATTGACATTAAAACCAAAATATATTTATATATATTACAAAAATAAATTCGCTAAAAACATCCCTAATTCACCTAAAAATAATGAACAATATGTAAAACTATTTAATTAACCTTAAAAAATCTTAAAAAAAAAAAAACCTATGTTCAATAGAAAATTTTTTCCATTAAAGGAAAAAAAAACATTATATGTACAATAATTGAGTTACGTATAAAGTATTTGAAAAAAATGTCTTTTGAAATGAAGGAAAAAAAATTAATTGTTTTTGATATATAATAAGTTGGGTATTTGAATTAGAATATTAAAATTCTAAGAACTAGAGACATAAACCTTTATGCCCACTCAGTAAGCAAAGGACTAGTTCTTAGAAACTAAAAAAAAAAAAAGTAAAATTGTTCTTTAATTCCATAAAAATCATAAACCACTTGAATGTTGATTTGCTCGTGGTCAAAGAGGATTAATATAATCAGAATGAATTTTTTTTCGTTTTCTGTTTTTGATTGGGAGTGATATTCAGCTACATTTTTTTTATGGGCAATCCTAGGGTTTTTGTTGTAAGTGGTTGTATAATTCAACCCATTTTAACCAAGCTACCCGATTTCAAAATCATGTAGTTGATAGATAAATCTGGATTCCGGTTTGGAATTTTAGCCTACCGTCGAATCCTACTCGCACTAGAAGCTCTTTGGACTCGAGGTTCAAGTTCCAATGATTTGTTATATAATTCCTAAATAATTTAAATAATTTAAATTAATTTTAAATTAATAATTTGAAATTTGAATTACAAAAAGACAAGAACTTTTAATAAACACGTACATCATCGTCCATTATGACAGTTTCTCTAATGAATTTTTCAATAAGTATGTTACTTTTAATATTATAGGAGGACTTTTGGTATTTACGAATCATATTAAGCACGTCGCCCATCAAAGCAAACTTGTTCCAATGAACTCGACCATCTTCTTGAAAGTTCCTATTACCTTCACCAATTGATAATAAATCTTGCAGATGGATGCCTCTATATATATTATTAAAAGTTATAAAAAATTAAATAAATTAGAATATATCAAAGAAGTCAAAAAGAAGTAATAATATTTTTAAAATAAATTCAACTTACAAATAAGGTATTCCTTTTTACCTCCGGAATTTTAGATGATCCATTCACAATAACATTTTTCGTGGTTTATCGTGCGTTCATGAGACCTCGAGATGTCCTTATTAAACTAATGAAAAGGTGGATATATATATATATTATATTTATTATATTTAAATTTTATTTAAGTTTATTGAATATTATATTAACTATTTTTATCACTTTGCCTAGATTTGAAGAGTGTGAAGAGGATTCAAGAGATAGGAAAAGTACTACACATGAAAAAATATGCAATCTCTTATATCATTGGATAACGAATCATCCGCATGATCTTATTCATCCGCAAACGCGACAAATGATGTGTGAATTCCTCGAAACTATAACAAGTTATAAACATCTCTCATACTATGCTATAATTCTTGACCCTTTGATCAACGGTACTGTCCCTGAAGAAGATCCTGACATGTTTTGGGGTTTTGTTGATTCTACTGATGAGAAACTCATCAAACATGATGTGGTAGTAAAAAATACAAACACTCCATTAATTCCACATGCAAAGAAAGATAGTGGATTTGGTAGTTGGACATTTGATAGAGATAATAATCAATCCAATTTGACCCTATCAGTACATGAAATTAATAATAATCGTACGAGTAGTCAACCTCTTCAAAAATCTTCTTTAATAATTGTTCCTGATGGTTCCATAGGAAGACCAATGAGTCAATTAACTTTCGATGAGTTACCGGAAAAGGCAATTGCTAATGAACTGACTTTCCAAGAATTTCAACTCTTTAAAAAAATCACTGTAAGTAATCTTTACTTTATAATAATATGTTTTTATTCACACGTTCTAATAATATGTTTTTATTCACACGTTCTAATTTTTTTACTTTCCTAAATTTATAGGGTAGAGATTTATTGAGACATATTTGGACACCACAGGGAAATATTCAACGCGGGAACGGACGTGTTGCAAAATCTATTCAACA